CCCCCTTCTTGCGCCGCCCTCGCGAAAGCCGGCCGTGCATGCCTTCCACTGCCTCCCCACAACACAGTGGAGGGTTCACCCCTCGCCACGCCATTTCCCGCCGACACCCCCCACGCAGTGCAGGTCCCAAGATACCCGTCACAGAACCCCACCGGAATACCTCCCGATACTCCAGCATATCCGATAATCCAGCACCTCCTGGGTTCCAAGGGTGCCGGATTATTGGAAGTCTACTATAGTTAAATTTAACTCAGATGAGAGTTGGCTTGAACAGTGCAATAGACTCAAAAAAGTTTAAATTGAAACAGGGAAATTATTGTATGTATACGTGATCCACAGCTAATATTCTAACACCAAATAGTGGCAAAAAGAGAATTCTTTCTCATGAAACAACCTTTTAAAAAGAATTTAAGGATTTTATTGTGGAGTGACATCTGAAAAGATTCAATGAATCTCTACTGGAACTACTGATGGGGTAAGAATTACTATAAACTCCTTTTCTAACTTTGGTAGTTTTACACAAAAGAAAAGGAGAAATATCCAATTTCATTTTTGGATGGAGTTAAATGTAGTTCATTATACGGACTGATACAGGATGAGGTGTTTGCTCTATGTAGCATTAAGGAGTATTTTTAAGCCTCAAACCAGTGGTGACAGAGAGATGAGACACAGAAAACATGCAGCGTGTACAGCAAATAGAAGAGCTAAGTATCTTTTTATGAATGAGAAATATACTTATTAGGAAGAAAAGATCAAAGCTCTGAGAGCAGCTTTCCTGCTGGGAAAATTCAGGTAATACAGGTTGAATACTTCTCTACTCTGGCACCCTGGGGACCAGACTAGTGACGAACTAGAGAATTTTCTGGACCACGGGAGGTCAATATTGTCTAGCAGCATTAACAACACTTGTACTGTTTACTGGGCTGTTAGAAGATATTTAGGGATAAATTAGAGCTAAATAACAGCTCAGAACATTGAGAGCCAGGACTCTGGTGGCTGTAAACAAACTCTATGGGATTGCGGGAAACTTAGCCACACCCATGAAAAGTGGACATCTGTCTAACTAATATCATTCCGGATGACAGATATTTCTGGACTAGAGAGTTTCAACCCGTACCAATCTTTGTAAAGCCTCAAGAACTCTGGATGAAACATACTATATACATATCAACTATGATTATCATTTGCAGGATTGTGAAAATACATTTTTATATGTGATTGCCTTCATTAGGTCATCCCAGAAAATTATATTTTCTAAGACCCCATAAAGTTATTTGCAAATCCAGATACACAACTGCTGCAAATTGAAAATCAGACCCCTGTTCTTCTCCCTCCCTTGTCCCAGTGACATGGAGCAATATCAGAAACCAAAATCTATTTTAGACATGATAAAGTAGTGATAATCAGAGGCCACATTTGCCTTGTTTCACTCTCTCTTTGGTATCCTTTCTGGGTTTGAACAAGGTACTGCACAACATCATGCATAACAATCAGGTCAAATGCCAGTGGGAAAAAATGGCAATTGCGGAATAGACAATAGATGAAAGCACCAAGGATAGAGCCAGACTTTACATTGATGAAATTAGAATTGATATAGCCATAAATACTACTTACACTGTAACATCAGTATCACAATGTATAAATAAGTTACATGTATTACTGGTTTCTAAAGAGATTACACACATTTGTGATTCTCAGGCTGGAAGGATGAAATGTTTCTTCGTCTAAAAGAGGTTAAGTACCATTGCAAAAAAATGTACATAAACCATTGTGGGTTACAAATTACTATTTCAAGGCTTAAAC